GCTGCCGGAGTCAGACCCAACGCCTGTCGGCCTCTGGAAGGAGCTGAGTCCACTGGACACTGTCCAGAGAGTGAAGTTACGCTTGGGCTGGCCTCACAGAAGACAGTGTTTAGGGACCAGGTCCAGGACACCCCACAGGAACCCCACTCACCCACGTTGGAGGACACAGCCCTGTTCATGATGTCAAGTGCTTCGTTGAACTTGTCCTTGACGGAGGGGTGTGCCAGCACCTGGTCTGAGAACATGGATTTCCAGCCCAGGTACCACTTGGTGATCTCCTCGTAATTGGGGCTGTTACTGAGCCAGGAGCACAGCACCTGCAAAGGACACGGGTCTCTGAGCCAGCGGCCACACTGGGAAGACGCTGGCCCACAGCGGTGGGAGCAGAGTGCCCCAGGGCTGTCTGCTGTATGCATCGCTGTTCCTCCCCACAGCCCGCACTACAGGCTCACAGAGCTGCAGCATCTAGCAGTTACTTGTAGAATCTGGAGCCTGCCTGTGGCCTACACGTGCTGACCCTTAATCTCCACATCTCCAGACAGAATCTGTGAGGAGCTGAGCTGAGGCGGTATCATGCCTAGACAGCAATGGGCACTGAGGACTCCGAGGCTCTCGCCACCCCACCAGGTCCCTCCTGGACCACACTACGCACCTGAAGCCACTTGGGGAAGAAATGCTTCTCCAGTAGCCCCACCAGGCTGGAGACAGAAATCATCCCTTCCCAGTCCATCACCCAGTAGAAGGCGTCCATGTGCTGCTGGTGGGGGTTGATGACGAGCTCGCCCAGGCACATGCCTGCAAGAGAGGTGGTCCCTGGCTCAGCTTACACAGTGCAGCCATGGAAGCACGGGGTGCTGACCAGCACTCTTCAGTCTGGTCAGATCCTTCCTTCCACCCTGGGATTCACAAGCACTGAAGAAGCCAGTGGCTTTCTGGCCCCGTCAGGAAAACCACAAGGTGCAGAGAGCCCCGAGTCATCACTCAGACCTTGGTCACAGTGGTGAAGAAACATCAGGAAGGCCCTGGTTCCACGCCCCTTCCACCTCTGCCAAAGCAATACACCTGGTGGTGGATCTCTGAGCAAACCCCACATGGCCCACACGTCCCCGTCTCCTTACCCAGCTTGGGCACAATGTTCCTGAGCATGAAGGCCTCCCAGGACCCGGGGGTGAGGACCTCTTTCCAAGGCTGCAGGATAAGCTTGGCTGAGGCATCACTGGGGTGCCACTTCTGCAGCGCGCTGGACAGCTTGCTGCGGACGGGGGAGTAGAGCGGCTCCAGGCGGGCCTGCATGAGGGGCAGCCACGGATGGATCCACGAATGGATGGGAACAGTGTCTGTCAAGGGGTTCCAGTTGTCCACCTGCAGGACGAATGGAGAAGGAGGAGCAGTGCAGACAGTTCATGACACACCAGTGCGGTCCTTAGGACCAAGGGCCACAGTCCTTGATGTGTATGGAGGGCAAGATCCACCACGGAGGTAAATGGCAGTCATTGTGTACTCTAGGTCCCTCCACAGAGGAAAAATAAACGCCACCGACGCCAACTCAGCATGGCTCAAGGTTCACTAACGGCACTGAGGACATGAACTCCCCCTTGAGGGCGGTAGGAAGGGAGCACTGGGAAAAGGCTGGAATGAGTCCTGTAGGACACCGCTGTGTTAACAGAGTCCCACAATCCCAGCAGTCTAGTGGCAGAGGTGCTAAGTGGTCAGAGACAGTCAGGGCTCTGTCCTACCTCCTTCTGCAGCTTGGGGAAGATGAGCTGGTCCAGGATATTGTCCAGAATCCACACAGGGATGATGTGTGCCCAGCTGTCCAGGAAGTCCACCATCGGTTCACAGTTCCTGGGCTGCCACTGGGCGACAACATTCCGAACAAAAGGCATCCAGACCTCCCACATGAGCCTGTGAGAGGCAAGGGCAGCTGGTCAGCCAGCATTGGCTTCAAAGTGTGCCACCCACAGACCCACGCAGGGGCTCCCGTGATGCCTTGGCTCTGGGCCTTGGGCTCCTCAGTGGTGCCACGCACTGAGAGAGCTGCCACAGGACCATGTGAGCTAATGGTGTCGGCACAGGGATGAGGCGCTTTCCCACCAAGAGCCTCTGTCCACACATTTCACACTGGGGTCATCTCTGCCTGCCTCATTCTCGGTTCTCACTCGTACCCCGCACTGCCTGTTCACTTGTCTGCCACCTGCCACCTTTCCAGTCTGTGGGTCAAAGCTGCTCATGGTCCTCCCAGGGTCAGCCCAGCTCCTGGACGCTCAGGATGCAATACATGTGAGCGAGCATATCTTCATCCCCCAGAGCAGTGCCAGCGTGGAGCAGAGTCGAGAGGAGCCTTTAGCAGAATTCCTGCTCCTCGGGGAGGCAAGGGGACACAGTGGGGTGGGGCCCTGGCACCTGTGGAAGGCGTCTGAGGACAGGTCCTGGCTGCTGTGAGACAGAAGCTGGTCGTTCTCCAGGAGGCTCTTCCACTTGGAGATGATCTGGGTGCCATAGCTGCCATCCTGCAGAAGAGTGACATCATCAGTCTTCCCACCTCAGTAGCCATGCCCCTGACCAAGCTGCAGGCTGCACCCCAGCGCACCTCAAGGGGGTGCCAGTCCTTGAAGTACTCCTTCACAAGTGGGTAGACGATGGCCACGGCAAGATCTGCTCGGTCGGCCAGGCGGTACTCCTCATAGTACTTGTCCTGCAGTGTCTCAAAGATGCGGGCACACTCATCCAGCGTGAGGGGGTCGGTGCCATGGGGCTGCATGCGGCGCTCACACTCCTCCACCAGGGCCAGCACCTTGCTGAGGTTGGAGATGACGCGCTCCTCGTGTGCCAGGACCTCGGCGGTCTTCTCAAGCTCGTGGGACAGGCTGACCACCATGTCCCGCTCATGCTGCAGCTGGCGGTCACTCTGGATGATCTCCTGCTCCGTGCGCTCAATGAGCAGCTGCAGGTTGTGCTCCAGCTCGGGCAGCGCAAAGCCTGGCACCTTGGCTTCCTTGCCGGCCGTGGGGGGCAGCTGCGCCAGCAACGGCAGCCCCTCGTCGGGCACGCTGTGCTTGTGGCTGATCTGGCTGTAACTGTAGTACACCTTCTGCTCCCGGCCTGTCATGTCGATCACCTTGGAAAGAGTGGCAGGGTGCCCCCTGTCAGCCCCCACTGCAGGGAGACAGGACGCTGGCCAAGTGTCAAGAGCCCTGCTAGTGGACAGAGCTGCCTACCACAGGCTGGAGCTGTCACACCACACTACCTCATACGGAACCATGACGGGCAGCTGCCACCACTGCTGTCCATCACCGAGGGGGAGGCCATCCCCCC